CACCACCGTCCCCTTCCTCGCAGACCTCGAACTCCATGGGGCCCGAGACCCGGACGCTATCGGTGCTGACGTACGTTACCTCGGATGAATCCTTGTCAACACGATCGCGGCGAAGGTTGATGCAGACAGCGTCGGACGGCGGGATGCGCGCACCGTTGACTTCCAGATGGACGCCGAGCTCGCGGCGGAGGTGTCGGAGCTTTAGCTGGTCGGGGAGGCCGTCCACCGCGCAGGGCGCGATCCGAACGTAAAAGAGGCGTATTTCCAGGCACCCGCCGGTGAAGCTTGGGGGAGGCCTATAGATAGCCAGCTGCAATTCATCGTCACGTCCGTTCATTTCTTTTTCTTTTCAATTAAAAAAAACCCTAAAGTTCGGATTGAGATAACCGATAGATTTCAGGAGAATTAGGGTTTTTAGAAGCTCATCTAAGAGGGAATTTCGAATATCTAACACCATGCAAATTTGGGAATTTCAAGGATCTTTATGTGTAGAATTAGGGTTCCATTTGTGAAAAGTCTGGAAACTGATGGGGGAGGTAGAAAAAACAGGGACAACTGGAGCGTGTCTTCACACGCGTCACTCGCGTGTTGCGTCTTGGAATGCGCAAAAAAAAATCCACGAAAGCATGCATCCTACAGCCACGTGGGCACGCAAAATGGGGCTGTGGTTCCCCGGGTCCCAGATCAGATTAGAGATGTCAAAACGGAGCTGGCCCCGCGGGCCGCCCTGTCCCGCCTAATAGGCGGGTTGGGTTAGTATATTATAAACCTGTCAAAGAGCGGGCCTAAACGGGCAAGCTCGAGCAAGCCGTGGGCTTTGGCGGGTCGGGCCTGTCGGGCTGCGGGCCAGCCCCATGTAAAAAAATAAATAAAAAATAAGTACTTATTTAAAATTAAATGTAACATTAATATATAAATTGTTTGTTACACTCACGTTTTTATATTCTTTTTTTATGTTTTTTTGTTTGTTTGGATTTGAATTAAATGAATGAACTTTGGTTTTGATTTTGAATGTTAAGTAAGATTGTTATGCATTTATTTAAGTAAGGTGCTGTTGTGATTATTCAATTGTATGTTTAAGGTTTTTATTTTTAATGAAACAAAATTAATTTTTAAGATTTTTTGTTTTAAAATCGACGAGTCAGCCCGTCGAGCCCGCGGCCCATGGCGGAGGTGGGCCAAGCTGGCCATTTTGCAGCCTGCCCGGCCCCGCCCCGCTAGCTCGTTTGACATCTCGTGACCGTGAGTCTGATAATTGCAAAATAAAAAACGTAACGTTGACTCGTTGACTCTTCAACTCAAGCCTCAAGACGGTATATAATATCATTTCAATCATTTTATTTTTTTAATTAATTATAATTTATCAAACATTTGAAATGTGTTGGTTCTCTTTGTGGTTAATTTAGGTGTTATCAAACTTCCAATTTTCGACCTCTAGTTGCAAATTGCTATTTTGCCACATCATCAAGTTATATTAAGAGCAAGAGGGTGATTAGTGTACAATTTATGATAAATTTTGTCAACTTATTATAGCAATATTAATGAGGTCTAAGATCCTTTTTTTTTCAATTATAAAAAAAGTCAAATTAGTGTATCATTATTAAAATTTCGCAAATAAAAAAATGATTTTAATTATTCCAAAATTTTCCTCATTGAATTAGAATTATAAAATTGCTTATAAAAATTCATGTCGTCTTTTTTATTTCTTTCTAAAACTCCACTTTTGAAAATAAAAGTATTTAAAAATATATATATTTTAAATTAAAAAATTATTCATCCACTCACATATTTCTAATTATCAATATATATTATTTTTATATAGTTTAGATTTGAATTATTATAATATTATTTCATATTTATTCACAATTTCAAATTTATCTTACTTTTTCTAGGCAAGCGAGTTTAGCCTCCCAAACAAAGGAAAAAAAAAATGAAGAAAATCAAATTATTTTGTCATTCATAACTTAGCCGCTATTTTCAAAATAAATTCAATCAATGATATTCATGGCATCTTTCATATTCTTGTTCATCATTACCACAAACACAAAAAGAAGGTTAAATGTTAATTAGTAGCTTCCATTTATCTAAAAATTACTAAAAATATGAAGGAGCGCACCACCCAGTTTAGAAAATCTTAAACCAAAAACTTCATTTATGGTGGAGGAATTTTTGGGGATTAAAGTTTACAACTCATATATATTTCTTGAAGCTTGATGTCTTTATCGGATAAATCAAAGTTTCTGCACTATCACCTGCATGCGTGAATCGTGATATATTTGATGAACTGTGATAATTTACGTAGAAATGAAGTCCATCAACTCGTAGAGTTGACGATCACTTATTCCATAAATTAATAGTTTAATTATCTGGTGGGGCAGTTGGTGAAGCTCATGCATGATTGATGATTACGTGCGTATTAGGTTGAAATAATTGAGCGTAAATGTCATTTTTTTTTCAAACCATAGAATAAAATCTATTACGCCACCGGAAAAGTTCAAATGGGGAAAACCCCTACAAACAACCACAAGAACCAGAGAGAACCATCCAAAGTATGGTCTAAATTACCACTACAAAGAAGAAGAAGGCTGCAATTAAGTAGAACCCTTCATCAACTACACACCTAACACACAACCTAGCAAACATACCCACCAAGCCAAATAAAACAGAATAAAAAACAAAACAGGCAGCACAGCCGAGCACCCCTACCACAAACACTACACAAGCAGCAAAACAAAATACAAAAACCAACAAACAAACCCATCACAAACACATAGAACAACACTAAAGCACCACTGCCTCAAAGCCTAGTGCCTTAGCCTCCTCCATACCACCACCTAACTGAGATTGCAGAACTCCTCCCATTCCATGATGGCATTCTTTAGCACCACTGTTTCTGGCATCCACACCTTCTCAAATACCCATAAATTTCGAGCTTTCATAACCACCATAGAATGTAGGTGGTAAGATGAATCCTCCTCTCTGCACATTCAGTCTTTGGAAGTGAACAAATCCACCACCACCATGCCTTGAAATCCACCATAAAATGTCAGTTGAACACCTTAATATTTAGAATTCAATTATACTAACGTCACTCGCACGTTGCGCGACCTGATTTTAAAAAATGATTTACAAATGCTAAGATCTAAACTTGGGATATTTTTATTTCATACGAAAATCAGGAGTTCATGAATAAATTTATATCTCATGACGTGCAAGCAGAAGAAAATGACGTCGTCTAGTAGTAATGTTCATACGACGTCGATCACATTTAAGCTAAAAAATGCAAGCAACAAACTTAAAGAAACGTGATACGACTAAGGGTTAAATCTTGACTAAAATAAAGGCAGCTATAAATGCCTTCTTCATTGCCAATATCCATGCATAACGGTTGAGAAGTTGTTGCATTTTCACACCCCTTCCTCTAGGTGGAGCGAGCTCAGAGACACCCAGATTGGACAACAACCGATGAAAAACAGCAGCTGGAAGTAGCTTTGTAATGAAATTGGTCAGTTGAGAAAATGAGAGTACGTAAGTAGGTAAGATGAAGCCAGCCATGTATTTGTCACAAACAATATGATAATCAATCTCAAGATGCTTTGTCCTTTCATGAAAAATCGGATTGGCTGCAATGTGCATGATTATCACACCAAAGTGTGATTGGCAAAGTAGGTTCCTGCTGAAACTCCTTGGCAAGATAATAGATCCATTTGCATAGTTCACAAACGGTTGTACTGCTTATTACTCTTGTAATATATTAGACTGCTCAAAAAAAAAAAAATCCTGTGATTGATCTACGAGTGTCCTTACAAGTAGTCCAATCAACATCACAAAAGCCACTTAGAGTAGGTGGTGAGTTGGAGCTAAAAACCAAACCAAGACTGACAGTACCTTTAAGATATTTAAGTACTAAAATTGTTGCATCCAAATGTTCAGTAAAAGGGTATTAACAAATTGGCTTAGTTGTTGAAACTTCATAGCTCACATTTGTCCTAGTCATGTTAAGATATAGAAGTCTCCCAATCAACTTTCTATCTTTGTCAGGTTCTGATAGTGGTTGGCCATGATGACCAGTCAACCTCAGACCTCGTGGTAATGGGGTTGTGGCTGCTTGCAATCCTCTAGTCCTATCTCTCAAAATATTTGTTGACGGTAACGGTCAGCCTTCCCTGCTTGGGGGGTCGGACCCCCGGTGAGCCATTGACCATGCACCGGGGACTCATGACCTTCAACAGTGCTCTTGCCCTTGGGTGACAACCCATCTTTGGTCTCTCTGTTGCTTTTGTCTTTTCACATACTCAACTGCACCCTGAGCATAAGTTGAGGTTCATGGCAAGTCTGGTACCATTTTAGTGGAATAAATTACATTATTTATGACAAATATAACTTTATGTTGTATCTATATTCGTTTGTACTATTTTTATATTTCTTTAAATTTATTGGAAATTAATATATAAAAAAATATAAAATTTAGTTGAGTAAGTTTGCGATTTGTTATTAACTAGATTAATGAATTCTTGTATCGAAATTTACATATTTAAGAATTATCACTAATAATAAGCATTGTTATTTTTATCAAATGGTAAAACGCTGGGACTCTTTTTATATTAAAATAGTTAATCACCTTAAATTATAGTTTATTTGTATTAATTGCACTCCATATGTATGATTATGAAAATATGATCTGGTACCAGGACTTGCCATGAACCTCACCTTATGCTCAGGGTGCACAATTTGAGTCATGGGGAGGGCAAAAACCACAGTGCATGGTCATGGTACAAGAGCACTGTGAAAGTTCATGAGTCCTCGGTGCATGGTCATGACCCACCGGGGGTCCGACCCCCCAAGTGGGGAAGGCTGGTGGTTACGACCATCAACAAGTATATTCAAAGTATTATACATAAAATAATCTATAACGATAAATATAATATTTTTTTAAATTAAGCTTTCGTACAAATAATTATTTTTTATTGTTTGAATTTTACGTAAAGAATTTAACAAATTCTTTTCTAACCCATGAATATTGGAGTGCAAGTCCCAATGCATAATTATGCATCAACATAATTATTTACTTAAACATGCAATTATGCTCATTGTTTTAACGACATACCAAACTTAAAAATTAACAATTCTTTTTTTTTTT